ACTCCCTAACACCATAAACAAAAATAAACTCAAAATGGATTAAACACCTAAATGTAAGGCTGGATACTATAAAACTCTTAGAGGAAAGTATGGGCAGAACACTCTATGACATAAATCACAGCAAGATCTTTTTTGACCCACCTCCTAGAGTAATGAAAATAAAAACAAAAATAAACAAATGGGACCTAATGAAACTTTAGCTTTTTCCAGCAAAGGAAACCGTAAACAAATTGAAAAGACAACCTCAGAATGGGTGAAAATATTTGCAAACAAAGCAACTGACCAGGGATTAATCTCCAAAATATACAAGCAGCTCATGAAGCTCAATATAAAAAAAAACAACCCAATGAAAAAATGGGCAGAAGACCTAAATAGACACTTCTCCAAAGAACACATACAGATGGCCAACGAACACATGAAAAAATGCTCAACATTACTAATTATTAGAGAAATGCAAATCAAAACTACAATGAGGTATCACCCCACACCAGTCAGAATAGCCATCATCAAAAAATCTAGAAACAATAAATGCTGGAGAGGGTGTGGAGAAAAGGGAATACTCCTACACTGTTGGTGAGAATGTAAATTGGTACAGCCACTATGAGAAGAGCATGGAGGTTCCTTAAAAAACTAAAAATAGAGCTACCATATGACCCAGCAATCCCACTGCTAGGCATATATCAGGAGAAAACTGTAATTTGAAAGGATGCAATGCACCCCGATGTTCATTGTGGCACTATTTACAATAGCCGAGACATGGAAGCAACCTAAATGTCCATTGACAGAGGAATGGGTAAAGAAGATGTAGTACATATATACAATGGAATATTACTCAGCTGTAAAAAGGAGTGAAATAGTCTCATTTGCAGAAACATGGATGGACCTAGCAACTGTCATACAGAGTGAAGTAAGTCAGAAAGAGAAAAACAAATATCTTATAATATTGCTTATATGTGGAATCTTGAAAAATGGTAGAGATGAACTTATTGCAAAGCAGAAATAGAGTCACAGATGTATAGAACAAATTTATGTTTACCAAGGGAGGAAGAGGGGGTTGGAATGAATTGGGAGATTGGGATCGACATATATACACTACTATGTATAAAACAAATAACTAATGAGAACCTACTGTATAGCACAGGGAACTCAATGCTCTGTGATGACCTAAATTGGAAGGAAATGGAAAAAAGAGTGGATATATGTATACATATGACTGATTCACTTTGCTGTACTGCAAGAAACTAACAATATTATAAAGCAACTATACTCCAATAAAAATTAAGAAAAAAACCATTTTGGCTCTTTAATTAAGCTTTTAACAATTTTTAGAGTAGTTAATTGAAGATTTTTGCCTCTTTTATAGTATTCCTTAGGAGTAGGCATCGTTTTCCTTTTATGATGGGAATTTAAATAATTTTCTCTGAAGCTACATCTTGCCCCATTTAGAGTACTGTCTTCCTTTGCTGAGCTTTTATAGTAAGGAAATGTAATGCAGACCAGAAAAGTTTTATTGAGAGTCCTGAAGATTAGGCAGGAAATAATACTGACTGGGATTTCTAAATAGAAGATTAAAGTGTACCATCTTAAAAATAATGAAATACTTGGTTTTATCTTCTGCCGGAAAATATAGGCATAATGAAAATCAAACGGCTGTTAATACTGAGAAAAAATTAGGTGCTTTACTAATAGGCCCTAATTTCACTTACAAAATTCACTTCTATGAAAGGTCAAAGAGTACCCAGCATTTCCAAAGACCCATTTAATTTAATGACTTTCAGAAACACACACTGTGGATAAAGATAATAATGAGGCCCATAAAATTTCATGCTTTAGTGTTTAGGTAATTGCTTGTTAAATTAAGAAGATATTTTTTTCCAGACATGGGTATACCCCTTTCTTTTTTGGTTAAGAATATAATGAAAGTTTGCATCTAATCTAGCTGAGTAGTATTTTGGCTATCTGACAATTATTCCAATAATAATTGTAGTGGGTTAAACAAATTTATTTATAACCAATTGAAGAGAATGAAATAGTTGGTAATTATACAGTACTGTTATCAGAAATTACTTTGATTCAAGTTTGCACACGAAAAAATACATGATAAAGATGGCCTACTTTGATTGGTGCATGTAAACAAGAAAATGTTTATATGATACCTTTTGCCAAATTATGATAACAGAATAACTCAATAAATCTATTATTAAAAGCTTAGTAAAAACTATTCAGTTAATAAAAATTATTTTACTTGGAGCATTCAGTTAAAAATAATTTTTTAGAGTACATTATTAAATCACGTTAATATGTTAAACATGGAGTTTTGGGGACAGTGCTTTTATAGTATGAAAATATATGAGTATCTTGATATTTTATAATTTAATTATATATTTTGATATGCTGCTTTCCTGAAATGGGGAAGTTAGTCACTCTGCCATCTCATTAAGGAAAAGCATTTAAGTAGTGTGTTCTTTTTGATATACGAATCTAAATAGAATGTTTCACTGAATAACTTGCTTCATTGTACTTGAAATAGAATTTATATATTTGGTGTCTGTCTTAATAAAAGTTTTTCTTAAACACAACGATGCTCTACTAATATAATGAGAAAATACTATATAGTTTAAATATTAATAGCTTATATGAATATTTCAAACTTTATTTTTTAGTACAACTTTTATTTTCCTTTTATTAAGCAAATGGGCAGCAGGAAGGTCATAATAGGAGAAACATCACCATGAAATGAATTTAAATTGTTTCACTGAGTAGACTTCATTTGTCCAAACAGAAAGCGAGTCTCTGAAAACCAATTTAATGGTCAGAAAAACTTTATAAAGTCCAATACTTCAGTCAATTCCTATGCTTTCTTTCCTGGGATGAGTACAAATAGGACTTTAAGTGTATATTTAAAAAGTGAGTTGATGCAGTGCTGCACATTTGTGGTTCTGCTTAAGAAACTCTGCAATATTATTTTTCTAAGTTTTTTTTAACCTATTATGAGTTTAACCTATTATAAACCTATTATTTTAACCTATTTTAAATATTATGAGATATTTATAAGATTAAATATCTTACATTTCAGATAAGATAAATAAAATATAAGCCCATGAAGTAATTCATCAAGTTGTTGTAGACTCAAAATGGAGTTTTAGTAGACTCAAAATCGATGTTCATAAAGTTTAAATTCTTTTATAAAGATATACAAAAAGATCAGTGTTACTAATAATCATGTATTCTGATATTTTTGATCCCTTAGAGGATATTTACCTACTGGCATGCCCCCTATTTTAGGTAGATAAATGTAGCTGTTTGAGGAATTGAATATATCTGTTCTACTATACTAAATAGTAATATGATGATGATGATGATTACAGTAGCATTTATTGAATATTTTCTATGTGCATGATAGTATATAAGACACTTTACATACTTTTCTTATAAGTGAATGTGAATTCAAGTGATGTTCTTGTGTTTTCACAACAAAATGCCAACTCAGCCATTTATCTTTTCTAGTCATTCTACTTAAACTCACTCCTCCTTATACTCACTTCTCTACTCATTGGGCACATTTTGGTGGCAGAGGGGTTCTCTCTTTTTTTTGGTCCATCTTCTCTCACACATACACACAGAGTTAAAACCTGGAAAGAACAAACTGTTTGTTTATCTAATAGTTGGAATATTCCACAGATGATTTTTCAAGTCTCAATATTTTAATCAACATTTTCTTGTGCCTTCAAGATTGTTGGCCTGGAAAGGAAGTTGAGGGTTAGATGGTTAGACCATGAAGTACTGTGACACAATGTTTATTTACATGTGGTCAAAACTACAACATTGACAGTAGAATGAAGAACAGTACAGGTCATCCAAAATAAGTGGGAGATGGTAGGGGAGAAAGAAAGAAACTTGGAAGAATGGAAAAGACACTTTCATCATATGCCACGTGTGGCTTGATCTTTCAGCAAGAAGTCTCACTGATCATAATATGTGCCATCCGAAGTCTGAAAACCTAAACTCATACCAGTGCTCTGGCAGTATCCCAGCCACCATTCCTCAATGATTGCTCTGACATAGCTCCTAAAGCAGAAATCTATTGCGTGCATTTATTTCATATAATCTGAATTTTGAAATATGAGAGGCAGATTTATTCCATTCTGATCTTTTTGAGAGCTGTCAGTACTCAAATTTAGTCCATCCATTTTTCAGAATGTTAGAATCTCAGTGCAGTAGCACTTTGTCAGTTAACTAAGACTGTTAGATAACCACTTTTACATTATAAATTATATTTTACATTATTACATTGAAACTAACTTACATTGTAGAGGTGGGGGAAACATTCCCATTAATTTTTTCACATACGACTTGGGCTGAGAAAGAATACTCTCGCTTGCTTTATGCCAGGGATCTACAGAAGATATATCCAGTTGAATGCTTCTGTATCACAACACTGATATTGAAGACTTTTCTCATTAAGTTACCAATTATTTTAGTAATATGATCTGTAGGTGGTATATATTTTTCACATGCCTTACCAGAATGAAATCTTGGTTTTCTAGAATTTATACGCTTTCTTTTTTACAATTATCAGAACTAAGTAGCCCACTTAACCATATATTCAAGCAAGTTCAGAATTAAATTTTGTAAAGTTTTTTCCTTTATTTGTAATTATTTTGAATTATCCTATTTTATATGTATTTCAATTTTATAAGCAAATTGTCTTTGAAAATAGATGGATTATGTGTTATTGTGGCAGCATACCTTTAATTTTCCTTTATTTAAATGAAACGTGAATAAATGATAGTTTTGAAACTACAGGTTTTAGCCTGTTCATTCCCCACCCCCATATATGTTATATTGGTTGGGATATTTCAATGAGAATTATAGTGGAATCTTTGCTTTTCAATAATCTTTTGAATTGCTTAGTACTGGATTTGAACTGATAAGTAAATAATTTTTTCAGAAAAGAATTAGCAGTGATTTTTAAAGTTGTTATTATTTTTATTTTTCAGCAAGGCTAGAGAAGATCTGCTGAAAACTCAGAAAGAACGTGATTTTCATCGAATGCACCACAAGAGAACAGTCCAGGAGAAAGACAAATTAATTAATGACCTCAAAGGGTAAGCTGCTAGTATTTGTTGGCATATTTATCAAAGAACTATTTAATTTGTGTTAAGCCATTTGGCCATGGAAGAAGGTTCCAGGTAAAGTTATTCATTCAGCATTTATTGAGCATCTACTGTGTGCCATGTGTTTGATACAAAGATGAGCAAGTTTAGGTCCTTGCTGTCAAGGTTCCCAGAGACTATTAAGATGTGTAATGGGGGAGGAGTTAAACAGAAATATAGTGAAATATACTGCATTGTTTTTATGCAAGCCAAGAGGTGGTCACCCCAACCAGATTGGAGAGTGAGTTGGTTCAGGGACCTATTCCTAAAGGAAATGAATTCTAAAGTATGAGTTAACAGGGTGAGGGAGTGGGGTCAGCTTCCTGTGCAAAGGCACCAAGTCACTGGAGGAACATGACATGTTCGCCAAATTGTAAGAATGGAGAGCAAAGTGCAGAAGCAGCTTGACAAGGGCAAGGTGGAAGGGGCCACATACTGCATAACCTTGAATTTATCCTAAGACTTTTAGAAATTACTCTAATGATACTCAGATTCACTTCCCTCTGCCCTCCTCGTCTCCCTGACCACCCCCCCCACCCACCAAATAAGAAAAGAATTTATAATCTCTAACTAAAATTCTCCTTTGCTTGTTCTAGGGCAGTGCTGCCCAATAGAACTTTCTGTAATGTTATAAATATTTTATATCTGTACTGCCCCATATGATAGCCATTCGTCACATCCTCTACTAAGCACTTTCAGTGTGGCTAGTACAACTGATGAATTAAATTGCTGATTTTATTTAATTTTAATTAATTTAAGTTTAAATTTAAATAGCCACATTTGGCTAGTGGCTACTGTATTGAACAACATAGCTTAGGGGTGGTCAGGATAATTGCTGTCTTTAGTAGTGATTATGGTCATTATGACTATTATGATTTCTTAATTATAGGCTGTCTCGAAAGAATCAATGTACCTTTTAACTTAGCAATATATTAGAAATTAGCGTTTTTCTGATTTTTCTTAATTGAATCTCTATAGAAATCAAAACCAGTTTAATGAAAGAGATTGCATTAACTTGAAAAAAAGGCCTTGAGAGTGTTTATTCATTGACTTTAATCAATGCTTTTGGTTTCATATTTTGGTCTAAATTATTTTTTTGATTCATAAAATTGTTCCAAGTCCAGAAAAATTCAGAAAAAAGTCTTTGAAATGATTTGTTTTCCTCTTAACAATAACATTAATTGAGAAGTAGTACAATGTAATGGAAAGAGCTTGGATTTTGGAGTCACATAAACATTGGAAGCCTGGCTCCACTACTTACCTTTGTGTGTTCATTGTAATTCTGTTTCTTATCTGTAAAAACTGTCATAATAAAAGTACCTAATATAGTGTCTGGAACATAATAGATAGTAAGTACTTTGCACATACCCTAACACTGAAAGTATGTGCTAAATATATACTATTTCACGTAGATTTCCCTTTTGCATTTTTATACAGGTCTCTTTTTAGAACTGTATATTGTATTTTGTTTTAAAAATTTTTATATTTTAATATTTGGGAGTTAATTTTATATCTTTTATATTTGGGAACTATTTTACTCTCAGGACAATAAAGAGGCCTGTGGCTCTTCTGAAGTCATGTAGAAGTCTATAAAGGTAGTGAAGCTTTTTCTTGTACAAAGATAACTAATTGCTGTGCCTTCATCAGGGTGAGGTACCCATTTGCCCAGAGGAAAAGCCCAAAGGTATTTTAGTAGTTTTGTGTGTGTGTGTGTGTGTGTGTGTGTGTGTGCATACATACACATACACATACGTGAGTTTGAATCACAGTACATTCTTCATGGGAAAGATCTCAGGTTTGAGTCCATTCTCACCCTCTGTGCTGATACAGGCAGGCTTCAGTACTTCAGTTACTTGGGTTGATGACAGTCTCAGAGCACCTTGGTATCCAGCTGTGGCAGCTGAAATATGATTGTTCACTGTTGCTGATGTTGTATTCATGGTAAATTGTTGTTTGAGTTTTTGTTTTAAATTATTTTTTTGAGACTTCGAGCCTATGTGTAAAATATATCATACTTGTTAAACTTCCTAGAATGTTTAAAGAGAATACTATTATAATTTATTTCATGTAAAAATTCAGCATTTTCAGATTATGCTTTTTGTAATCCTTAGGGGCCCCAGTGAAGAAATCCACATTACATTGGAATATAACTACACTTAGTGTATATTCAGATAGCCTTTATTTCCATATTTAATCAGTAAGAATAATGTCTCCATTGAACCATCTGGATAAATCACTAATATATTTTTTCTAAGGACCTAAAACAAAATTTCATTGATGAACTGAGAGTCCCCAAAAAACTAGTCATGAAGCTAATCAATCACCAGTGAAGTTAATCAGTCAGCAGTGAACACCTTATCTTGTAATTGCGCCGTTGCATAATAAATCAGCTATAGAGAAGAGGGTTTTTGATTCCAGGATAAGTTAGGGTCTGAGTTCTCTGTGTCATATTTTACCCAAATATTTCAATGATGTGTCTTTTTATCATAAACTACAAAAAGTTAACCTTAATGTTTTCTCTAAATTGTTCAACTAAGTTGTAATTTGTTGCTTTTACCTCTCAATTTTTCAGAATTTCCTGTTTAACACGAGTGACTTATCATGAATGTACTTATTTTCAGAATTTTTAATACCAACATTTAGAACTTATAAGTGGATGCATTATGAGGTTCTTATGGAATTTATGAAACAGTCACACTTTTTCAGTCTGATTAAACAGAAGATTTCTGTGAATGTTTCCTTGTTATATCTTATTGGTATTTATGTGTTGCTAATTCTTTGCACAGAGGATAATCCAGTCATGTCACATGAATGAGTAGATGCCAAAATCATCAGTAATGTTTTTACTTCAATTGCCCACAAACTCAGCACACAATGTTTTGTGTATATAACTCTGTACCTGAATATGTGTTTACAAATGTATAAATGTCCCTAGAAGTTTATAGTATATAGCAAAATATATATATGCTAAGTACATTAAGTAGAATAGGGGATGAAATTATATATACTACTGATATCTTTTATTTTATTACTCTCCCTTGCTTTGCTGAGTGTGACTGAATTAATACACACTAAGTATAACATATATAAAATACATATTATTATATATAATATAATATAAATATATATCATAACTTTAATGCTTAGGTTTTATTACTGTCATCAATGAAGTATAATCAAAATTATATTGAGAAATATGATTTATAAATCAATTGCTTTCATAAATATATTCATGAAAATATTTTATAAAATGAGGACTACTGTTTTAATTTTTTAATAAAAACAAATGTAAAATTATTTTGGGAGACTTCTGCTTTGAGTCATATAAGAATAACTGGTATAAAGCTAGCTCTCCAGCTGGTACTGGACTAGCTGTCCACTGTAATGAACTACAAAACTGGACAGAATTTTTGGTGTTGTTTTGTAGAGTAGAACTGGGATGTCTAAGAGGAGGGAAATACACAAAGTGAGCAGCATGATCAGCCCAGATTTCTGTCTGGAGTCACTTTTCAGAAAATAGTATGACAAGGTGGGACCCAAACAGACCACGGTAGTCTTGATGAGCTGACGAGGCAGAGGTCGGAGTTCAGGGCTGCTTAGAGAGCTAGAATTTGCAGGACAGGGTGCACAAAAGGAGGGAGGTACATGAAAAGGTACTTGAGAAATATCTGTAGTGGTTCCTTTTAGTCTTTGACCAGATACTAAGTTGTGGAAGTACATGGTAAGAGAACATGAAGCCTGCAAAGAACAGCTCCTGGGCAACTGTGTGCCAAATGGAGATTCCAGAGATGTAGGAGTTCTGACCAGCTACAATGCAGAAAACTCACTGAATACTCTGAGCACTCAGTTAAGACCCTTGATAAACCCTGCCATAGGAGCTGAGCTATTCTAGTCTTGGAGAAGGAACTATTTTAGACTTGCCCTATAAAAAGCTTAAAGGTAAACTTCGAAAGGCCTCTGCAGCAGCTTTCAGCACAGCTGAAGTGTTAGCTCTTTCTAGGGCAGGAGGGCCACCTCTGCAAGCCCATAGGGCCTGAGGAGGAGCACTACAGAAACAACATTGTCAGGGACATCCTGAGAACCAGAGAAAAAGAAGTCATTTCATGTTGATGAGAGTCAGTTCATCAGAAAGATATAATATGCATGATTCTAATATAAGACTTGAAAATACATGAAGCAAACCCTGATAAAGCAGAAGGGAAAAATAGATATTTCCATAGTTATAATTGGAGATTTTAACATTCCTCTTATAGCAATTATTAGAAAAATAGGAAAAAATTCTCAAGTTGACAGAATAGGACAAATTAATTGTGCATAATTGATATTTCTTGAATTCTGTCAATACTTTGGATTTTTCAAGTGCCTATGGAATGCTCACCAAAATAGGTCGTATGCTGAGCCATAAAACAAATCTCTATAAATTTCAAAGAACTGATATCCGTACAAAGTATCTCTGACCTCAATCAAATTAAATTAAAAATCAATGACAAAAAGCTCTGGAAAATTTCCAAATAACTGGAAATTAAGTAACATATTTCTAAATCACCCATGAATCAAAGAAGGAAATGAGAAAATATTTTGAACTGAATGATTTAAAATGTAACATTAAAATTTGTGGGATTCAGCCAAAGCAGTGCATAAAGTGAAATTGATAGCTTATATTAGAAAAGAAGAAAAATTTAAACTAATGGTCTAATCTTGTACCTTAGAAGCTCAAAAAAGAACAATTAAATACAAAGAAAGAAAAAGAAGATCAGAAACCAATAAACTAGCAAAGTTATAAACATAAGAAAAATTCAACAAAATCATATATTGGTTGTATAAAAATATAACAAAACTGGCAAAATTGATAATAAAATTGTCAAACCCTAGATATACTAATTATCACCAAATGTTGGCAAAGAGGTGAAGTAACCAGGAGTCTCATATATTGCTGTTGGAAGTATAAATTATGACCCAGCAATTCAACTCCTAGGTATGGTTTCTAAGAGAAATGAGGGTACATAACCAAAAATATCTTATATGACTTGTATAAGAATTTTCATAGAAACCTTATTCATAATAGTCCCAAACTGAAAATAACTCAGTTCTTCATCAGCATAATATTGGATAAACACATTGTAGAATATATATACAAAGGAATAGTACTCACAATAAAAAGGAATGAATTACTGATATATACAACAACATGGAAGGATCTAAAAAAAAATTATGCTGAGTGAAATAAGCCAGTTTCTGAAGAGAACATGTTCTATGATTCCAAGTATATGAAGGTCTAGAATCTCCTGAAATGTTAGAAATGCTCTATATTTTGATGACAATGTGGACTACCTGGGCATGCATGAAAACTGTAATACTTAAGGTCTATATATTTCACTCCATGTAAATCACGCTTCATAAAAGTGAAAAAATATTTTGAAAGCGTTTTCAAATAAAACAGATTCTTAAAATTTATATCATACGTTGAGATGAATTGAGATATCAAAATATTTTATACTTAGTTTTCTTAATATGAGGTTATTCATACTTGTTTTCAAGACCATCCTTAATTTTGATGTGAATGACACCCTTTCTGTTTAATCATCTATTGTTTGTAGCCCTTGTCTTTTTGAAAATTGTTTCTAATTAAAGAAACTGCAATTTTGTTTTCTGTCAATGAATAGCAGCAACTTCTGGGTGCATACTTGAATACAACAAAAGTAAACAGAGAACTAGTTAACCCAAGAGAAATGTGACTTTCCCACCTCCACCTAGGTTGCAGGGAAGTTGTATGCCAAATAGTAGTTCTTGAACTTCTTGGCTCTGTTGTGTTGACCTTTATATGGTTAATTCATTTCTTATTCCAATGAAAAAAAATAGAAAAAAGATTTAGGTGTTATATGGAATCACTGATTTAACTCAATTACCCTTTAAGATGCCCTTTATTTTTCATAGGTTGAAGTTACATTACGCATCTTATGAACCAACTATAAGAGTATTATATGAGAAGCACCACGCTTTACTGAAGCAGAAAATGCTGACCTCTTTGGAAAGAGACAGAGCAGTGGGACAGGTAAAGAGACCATCCAAGCTACCTGAAAATGATTTTTAACCATTTAGTTTTTATAACATTATTAGAAATATTGGTTTTGTTTCTGAGTTAAATTTTAAAAGATTTCCCCCAATTGTCATGTAAAAAAGATTAATTTGGAAACATCCAGGAAAAGTATTATATCCATTTTAAAACTACAAAGATTATTATTGAATTAAAACTATTTAATTAAAATGTAACTTTTTAGGAGATTATTAAAATATAGTTACAGAGAAAAACTCAGCCATTAAAACATAACAACATTTAAGCTGGGTTTTAAATGCCAGCTTTGACAGCTATAAACCTGGACCTTACCTAAACACTTTAAATTCAGATTTCTCATACATAAAGTATAACCACAATGACCTATCTTTTAATATTGTTGTGAAACTTAGGTGAGATAATGAATAGAAAGTCCATGCAATTTACCCCCAAATGAATATTTGAAACACCTAGTTACTGACGCAATTTTCAGTCATTTTTGCTGTTGACACCCTTTTTCATTCTTCTTGCAGGGTTTTTGTATAGGCCTAGGCCTGGGGTAGTGGTGAGGAATCTCTAGTATAGAATTCAAGAAAAATAAAACAAAATGTTTCTTGGCCACATTAAAAATATGTAACACTTTATTAGAAAATATAAAACTGCTACTATGCTTAACATTCTTTTATTGTTTTCTGGAGATTTTAATTTTTGGTCAAACTTTCAGAAGCTACAGAAGCTTGCACGATGGTTACAAAAGTGTGAATGATTTTATTAAGACATACTTTAATCAACTGTATATTGTCTTTTCTTGAGTATAATCTTCAGCTACTACAATAAAAACATCACTTGTCTCCTTGTTTCTTTTTTTTTTTTTTGCGGTACGCGGGCCTCTCACCGCTGTGGCCTCTCCCGTTGCGGAGCACAGGCTCCGGACACGCAGGCTCAGTGGCCATGGCTCATGGGCCCAGCCGCTCCGCAGCATGTGGGATCTTCCTGGACTGGGGCACGAACCCGTGTCCCTTGCATCGGCAGGCGGACTCCCAACCACTGCGCCACCAGGGAAACCCTTCGTGTTTCTTTGTGCTTGAAATTTAATTGTGTATTCTTGAATGTATGAATTGCATTAATGGTAATATTGCATAAAAATAGTTTAATAATAGTTTACATTTTTATGGTACTGTATTGTCAAACCTTCAGAATTTCATCTCTTTGCTCTTTTTCATCTAACCTGTCCCCACAGCCTCCCAACAAGAGACAGTTCTACAACCTGGAACACTGTGAGCTAGATTCAGGTTGCTCCTGCTTCTTTTCCTGCCACAAAACAACTTAGACTTTTGCTCCTCATCTTACTCTCCTTTTCCCCCTGTTTTCATGCACATCTCCCTATTACTCTTCTCTCAGGAGGAATCCATCAGTCCCCTGGCCATACATTCCCAAGTGACCACGTATACTTTGGTGTCTCTGACAGACCACTCAGACTAAGTTTCAATATTCAGGGATATCAGGGCCTTCCAGGCATCCATGATGGCAAGTGCCTACACTCCCCTACAGGTTGTTGATTTCTACATCTGCCATCTATCTATCACTGGACTAGATCTTCCAGGCAATATCAGTGTGATTAGGGCTAAGTTATCTTCCTGGAATGGCCATCAGTTCCCCTATCTCTAACATGAGGTTAGATCAAAGGCCATATTAAGGACATATTTAGGCCATATACAGTCTTTGGGTTTCAGATTGCTCATCACTGGTTTGGTTACAAGAGCTAAGGATTAGGAGTGATAGGAGTCAGTCCCAGCTGTGCTACAAAGTAGCCATGTGAACATTCAGGTAACTTTACATATATGTCTCTTTTCTCATTCATTAAACAAAGATAAAATTACTTGCCTTATGATTGATATATATCTAAAATGAAAACATGTTTAAAAATGAAAATCATTCTCTCTATGAGGAAGGGTTGAATTTTACACACTACCATTCAGATATGTAAAGAACTGTATCTTCATTATCTACAACTTACTTTGTGTTTGAACCCCTACTCCTGCTGAAGGCAAAATAAAACATAACCTGCTATTAAAGACTATCCAGATCTTTCTGGGTTAAAACGGTCTCTTTGAGTTTAACACAGGGTGTTTGAATGTTATATTAACTGATTGTTTAGCTAAAACATATCTGTCAGTGTTAATTTTCTGTCATCAAATAGCATCCTTTTCTTCTCACTCTTCTCAGATGGCTCCTAGTACAAGAGACCCTTATGTGTCCACTGGCCCAAAGTCTACATGCTATCCTTTCGGCCTTCACTTTCTAGTGTAGTGTGACTGGTTTGGTTATATTCCTGGTGTTTAGGTACATGGTTCTGGGTGGTTCTTTTGAGTGTGAACCTAATATACCTTGCTTATTCCATGGCCTCTGCTACACCTTCTGTGAGATCCTTAACATCTGGACCTCATTGTCCTGACTCTCATTCATTGTCATTTCCTTATCATTTCCTTAAAAACCTTATCTTAATGACCATTTAGCTTACTGTGTTTCTCTTAACATATAGACTTCTCAAATACTTTGCATGAAGAAGGGTTAGTTTTTAGAATTTTTAATGCTATTTAGTTTGTATATAAGAGTGAAAGTGTACTGTGAGATGACAAAAATCTAATAAATATGTGTTTATAAATTCTTTTGATAGATAATAAACAATGTAACTTTTATTTACCTTTAAAAAATATTTTATTTATTTATTTATTTAATTTATTTTTGGCTGTGTCAGGTCTTAGTTGCGACACGCAGGATCTTTGTTGCGACACGCAGGATCTTTTTTGCAGCATGCGGCATCTTTCGTTGTGGCGCACAGGTTCTTCAATGAGGCACGTGGGCTTCTCTCTGGTTGTGGCGCCTGGGCTGCAGAGTGCGTGGACTCTCTGGTTGCGGCACGCAGGCTTAGTTGCCCCGAGGCATGTGGGATCTTAGTTCCCCGACCGGGGATCAAACCTGAGTCCCACGCATTGGAAGGTGGATTCTTTACCACTGGGCCACCAGGGAAGTCCCCAACTTTTAAATTTATTTAAGTCTTATGGAAACATCTATAATTTAATTAGTTTCAACTTTACAAAATTACTGAAAATGTCCAAAATTCTGAATTAGAGCCCCATGTTTCAAAAAAGATAAAATATAATTTATTTGTTAGAATATATATATATGTATAATAGATTACATTTTATTGTTTTTGGATCATGGGATTCAATTTAGGATAAATTCTAAAAGATACATACATATATATGTATGTATTTCTAGGTCTGTCTGCTGAGAGGGTCTAGAAGTAATGACACTGCAGTAGCAACAAGTATATCCAGTGCCCAATATCAATTTCTAATACTATTCTCCAATAAGAGGAAGTAGTTAGTGCTCCTTGGAGAAGTGGCTGAGTGTAGTCTGGGTAAGGAAAATACAAGATGAGCCCGGGTGAGCATTTGGGGCATCATGTTGTGCTAGAAATTAGGAAATGTTCATAATGTAAAAAAGAAAACAAGGAAGGAAGGAAGGAAAGAAGGAAGGAAGGAAGGGAGGGAGGAAGGAAATACCCAATATGATAATGGAGTATGTCAAAGGACAAAGGAACTATTGTGGGCAGCTATAGATGGACCACCAACCAAATTTGGTTTGGATGTTGAGCCTGATGATGTACCATGGTAATGCATGGCATTAACAGGGGAAACAGGGTATACAGGAACTCTCTGTACCATATTTGCAACTTTTATGTAAATTTTACACTATACTAAATAAGAAATTCATTAAAAAATTTTATAATCCATTTGGCATCCAAAAATAGATATAAAATTTTTACTTTTTTTTCCCACCCAGGCATTTCATGAGCACTAATCCATAGATTACAAATTATTATCTGCTATTTTCCATTAATAAGGAAATGTTGCTACTCAATGATAGTAGAAAAATGTGTGTATCTGTATATAATTAAATAGATGATATTTTGTGTTGGTATAATCATATAAGGGATGAGGTAGCTTTTTAAGGTTGAATTTTTAATTTAAGTCTGTTTTTCAGGAAATATCAGTAAATGGTACGCCACCAAACTAACAAATTAAATAAAACAAGGAGTAAGTTTGTGGGTGGAAGATGAGTTAAGAGTTTTAGGATAACAACAGTCTCTTCATATTTTACTTCCCAAGTAATACTTACCTCATCTTTTATGGACATAAAGATGAATTAGGCTGTTGTGAAGCAATTTCAACAGAGGAGAAAACTCTCAAAGTAGACACCTGAATAATTATCATTAAAAGTGTGCAATGAGTATTGTTGTCTCAGGAAACTATGCTGTGAAATAAATGTTTCAGGCGTTTACCCATAATAGATACTTAATACTTGCCATGGAATTGAATTTAAACTTAATAAAATTGTGTTTTCTTTTGTTACAATTAATGTTTAAATTTTTAAAATACATAGGAATTAATCCAAGAGAAATTAATATTTTCTATATTTTTAATCAATATTTAAACATTGTATTTTAACCCATTTTTTGAGTTATTTAGTATATAACCTCATATCTTTGGATTTTACTTTTTAGATTTCTGGACTTCAAGAAACACTGAAGCGTATGGAAATAGGGCATAGTTTCCATGCTCCTGAAATTACAGGTAAAAGTGAAATATAATAAAACTGTAATTTATTATAGGTTGGTGATTTTTCAATCCTATCAGAACTCAAAATGCTGATAGGGTGACTTCTTAACCTTATATTTGAGGCAACTATTTTTAGGCATTGGAAAACATCACAAGTCACAGAAGGCAAATGATAGAAGGAAAATTTGTAAGTTGAGCTTCACCATCATCATGACTTTTTGTCTGGGAAAATTTCCAAACCAAACTCTATGGCGATGGAGGTCAAGAAGAGCCTGGCAGTCCTGTTTGAACTGAAAAGGCAGACTATAGTTCATAAGTTGTTGAAGCATCTAGAATCTGTAGGAAAGGGCACCAGATAAGAGGGTGCTGCAATGAACAGTGGCCTGGTTTGTGAGAGAGTGTACTATGAGTCCTTAGATGATGGCTGGGCTACACATGCAAGACTACCTGAGATTTGCCAGAGAGAAAAGACTCTTTAGGATTCAGAGGGGACCAGTGATCTATAGTTCTCTTTTGTGCCAGTACCATACTGTTTTGATTACTGTAGCTTTGTAGTAAAGTCTGAAGTCAGGGAGCCTGATTCCTCCAGCTCCATTTTTCTTTCTCAAGATTCCTTTGGCTATTCTAGAGATTGTCATACTGAGTGAAGTAAGTCAGACAGAGAAAGACAAATATCATATTATATCGCTTATATGTGGAATCTAAAAAAAGGGTACAAATGAACTTATCTACAAAACACAAATAGAGTTACAGATATAGAAAACAAACTTATGGTTACCAGGGGGTATGAGAGGGACGATAAATTTGGAGATTGAGATTGACATATACACACTACTATATATAAAATAACTAATAAGTAATTACTGTGTGACGCAGGGAACTCTACTCAGTACTCTGTAATGGCCTATATGGGAAAATAATCCAAATAAGAGTGGATATATGTATATATATAACTGATTCACTTTGCTGTACACCTGAAATTAACACAACATTGTAAATCAACTACAATAAAAATTAAAACCAGTAAAAAACAGAAAAAACAAAACAAAAAGAGGGGACCAGGGATTCTAATTGTCAAGCAGTGATGGGATATATTGGCGTTCTGGCCAGGCCTGGATTGAAAGACCTCTTCAACACCTTGGTGACACCATATTAACATTAACCATACTGTACCCACCCTATAAAACCAAAAAGAAAGCTTACACAGGATTCCTAGGGGAAACAGAGTTTAGAGTTTGAATTTTGCCAAGTTAGAGAACCTTGGGGAATATTTAGGGCTTTCCATGGATCCACTCGAACAGAACATAAAATTAAGCCTGGAATTCAAGGTGATCATCAAAAAATTAAACTGCTTACTAGAACAGAAATCAGTACCTTTCAGAGGAAGATAATTGTCCAGAGTTTAATAATCTACCTTCATAACTGCTCAGTGTATAATTAAATTTTTCTAGTTATGTTATAGAAATTGGAAAATGTGATCCACAATCAAGACAAAAACAATAAATGGAAACCTATATTCAGATGGCCCAGGTGTTGGATTTAGCAGATAAAAATGCTAAAGCAACTATTTTTTAATATGATCAAGGACTTAAAGGAAAATATTACATTATAAATGAAGTGGTAGAGAATCTTGGCAGATAAATGGAAACTCAAAAAAAAAAAGGAAATAGAAATCTCTTACTGAAAAATACAATAACTAAAATCAAAATTTTATACTTCACAATAGATTGGAGATGATGGAAGTGTCAGTGAATTTTAAGAGCCATCAATAAAAATCATCTATTCTAAAGAAGAGAGAGAAAAAAAATTAAGGAAAATTTGCCTGTTTAACATACAAGTAATTGGAGTCCCAAAGGAAAAAAAATGAGAATGGGGCATAAAAATATTTAAACAAAAGATGACCTAAAATTTTCCAAACTTGATGTAAAGCATATACTCACAGATCCAAAAAAAGCAACTAACTATAAACACAAAGAAATCATGCCTGGATGCATCATACTCAAAATTTATGTGAGAAAATCTTGAAATCAGCAAGAGAGAAAAAACACGTTACCTATAGGGAAACAATAATGCAAATAAAGGCTTATTTCTCATCAGAAATATTGGCAGCTAGAAACAATGAAATGACATGTTTAAAATGTAGAAAAATTTAATTCAGAATTCTATATTCAATAAAAATATCTTTCAGAAATTAGAATGAAATATAAACATTTCAATACAAATGAAGCTGAGAGATTTTGTTGCAAGCCATTCTAAAGTACAGGAAATGCTAAACTATTTTCTTTGGGCCAAAAGAAAAGTAAGCCAGAAGAAACTTAGATCTGCAGAATTGAATACTGTACAGAGATTTAGAAATGTTAAATGCTGGTTAATGTAAACGTTAAGATTTCCTCTTCTTAATTTTCTTAAAAGGAAAGTGACTGATAAAAACTAAAATTATAGCCTTGTAAAATAATGCTCTATAAGGTATGTAAGGTATGTAAAGGATAAGAAAATAATAATTTGGGAGGTAGTGCAAATGTTCTATATCTTGATTTGAAGATATAGGTGGTTGGTTATATGCCTACTTATCTTTGTCCAAACTTACCGAACTCTACACTTAAAATGTATGCATTTTATTTTATGTAAATTATACCTCAATAATGTTGACTTAGAAAAGAATGATGGGAAGCTCTAAAATATAGAGAGACTGCAAAATGGTGAATTTTTAATAAAAATAACATTCTGGTATTTCCAGATGACTGTTCATTGTGTTCTCTGATTGATTAAGGCTTAAAAGAAATGTGTAGCATTCTCATATTCAAAAACTTTTTCTCAGCCTTGATTCAGTCGTTCCTTTCCTAATATTTTATATTAAAGAAATATCAGTTATGCTCAGTGATGCCTAGAGAGTCTATGCACAGGGATGTTTATTGCACTCATATTTATAGTAACAAAACTATACAAGCAGTCTTAATCTTTAATCACAAGTGAATGTTTCAATATAGTTGATCATACAATACTAGAAAGTCTTTAAAAATCATACATAAAAAATGTTCATATTAAAATATTAATGTTAAGAAATAAAAACATGTAGTATAAGATCATGTCTGTTAAATGAAACTCGAAAATGTTTACATAATTTTATTTGGGTAATGTGATTATTTCTTCATTTTTTCCTTACTGCATTTTTTTCAAAGAATATTTATTTCTGTTTACATCAAAAATTTTTTTCATATATATATAACTTTTAAGAAGAATACAATCAGATATAAATATGATATGTGAAACTACCATAATTTCAGGAACTCTAACTCTCAAGTTGAATAAAGACTGTGAAAAACAATAAATATAAGATGGCATAAAGGTTGAACTGTGCATTGAACTGATGCTTGCATCAGTTAATCTCTAAATGTTACATTCTACTTATAAGAGCTTATGATTTTATTTATTTATCCTTGAGATCTCTATTAAAATAAAATAATGGTTTATAGATAACTCCTTTATGAAATTATCTCCTGGTATTTAATCTAATTTATAAATGAATATATTACATGTTTTTCTAGGCTGACATTTATAAGTTACTTTGAAGATCAAGTTTGTAATTACATTTTTATCTGTGATGTTTTGAAGTGACTTTTGATCAAAAGAAATAAATTCAAGCCCAACATGAAGAAAACAGGTTTTCTTTTTTTTTTTTTAGTTTCATAGTCTCAGTTACCTGAATAAAAGTTATTCCTTAAATTCCGTACTGAATAATTTTGTGCTCCTTATAAACATGCCTTCTAGTTTTAGATAAAGGACTTGCAGTTCCTTTTCCTAAGTTCCTTGTGGCATGCCAGCATTTGGCTGTGTGATCTCTGTTATTACTCAGATTGGCTGATCAACTAGAACCTTACTTAGTCAACTTTGAAAAGAACTTGGTTTATTGGTTAACTGGTGGTTCTTCGTAAATCCTGCTGTCCTTCACAATTATTTTAATATATTTAACTCTTTCCCTTTTCATTTTCTCATTTTGGCTTAATTTTTAAAGTATTTTATCTGTCTGTCATTTATCTACCTATTCTTCGTTCAGTTTGAACAGAAGTTGGTATGGCAGTAGAAATTCTTCAGATTAAATGTAATTCGCCCTGTAGTTAGGAAACAATGACTTGATTGTCATTTACTCTGAACTTTGGGAAAAAGACTAATTAATTGTTATTTAATCTGAATTTAAGGAATAAGATAAAACTTAGACTCACTTGGAGTAGTTATCAAAAAATTTTAAATGTACCATATTTTTTGACTATCAAAGTGATGCGCTTATTACAGAAAAATTTTAAATGATAAAATGTTTTAAAAATTATTCATAATTGCTACCACCTAGAGAGAATATTAATGTTTTAGTAGTCAAATTTCTTACCTGAAAAGGGTTTATAATTCTACATTTACTCTTGTCTGGTATGTAGAATAATAGAAAAATTCCTAGGAGAAACTATGAAATAGTGAATTATTGTCAGCTAGATGTTTGAAGTGATAGTTTTGTTACATTTTTCTGTGTTGTAATGGAAAGTAATATGTATCAAATATTTACAAGAAACTACACAGAAAGCACTTTAGTATTACATATTATGAGAGAAAACTTTTTTTGTGCAAATTATATAAGCTCAGAAAGTTTATCAGTGTGCTGGTTTTTATTATGTTTGTGTTAGCTGATGTTTGATTTCATATGAGGTTGCAATTTGAATACGATGATACCTATTTCCAAAGTAGGTATAAAAATACATATAATTGTATTTTATGATATCTTGTAATTTATGATAGGAAACTATGAATTCAGTAAGAACTTCTAGAAATTGGAAATGTTTTATGAAGTGAAAAACTGTGAAAGCTGACTTCAGCATCACAAACAGATGTCATATATAGTAGAGCAAAGGTTTTAGTTTAATTAATTGCTTTTTAAATTGGGTATTTTTTGTTGCTCAGAATTTCACTACAAGATGTCATTTTCTTATGACTATATATAGTATATGGTCTAGTTTAGAAAGATATATTATCATTTCAAATATAACCTCTTTCCCTTTATCTCTGTTACCTTTTTGTGAATTCCAATTAGATGTGTACTTGATCTCATTTTAGCTTCCTAATCTCTTAGATATTTTCTGTTTATCTCCCTGTCATAAACTATGGATAATTTCTTCAGAACATTTTTTTCAGTTAAGTAATTCTTTTTTCAGCTGTGTTTAATCTATAATGGAGTTAAGGACTGGCACAATATAGGTACTTACGTATTTGTTAAATGAATATATTCATGCATATCTGACAGTTAACCAGGGGCCTGAACATGTTCTGTTAACATTGATTGAATGTATGCATACATGAAGAAATGGTTGAATGGGTGAAATTTTGCACTGGGAGTACAATAACTATAATTTCTATGAGTGAAAATTTGTTTATTTATTTGATGTTTACTAAGGAATTGTATCTTCCTTAAGATAATGACTGTGCCCAAGTAAAATTTGGGAAACTGCATAGTAGCAGTCAGTACTATAGGCCTTTTCATTAACTAGCATTAGATGATAAGCATGAGGATCCTGTGATGTAGAAATGGACTTTGCCAGGGTGTTACTAAACATTAAGAAGCACTATGTGGAATTTGAAAATTATATGCACTTTTATGAATGTGACAAGGACCCAATGTTTGAGTCTCTCATTTGTTCTACAAATCTTTGTATAAAGTGATATTTATCTGATAGAGAGTGGGAATCATGTTTATTATTGGTACATTGAGAAATAATTAAGTGTTACTTTTCTTTCAATTACACATACACTATGCAATGTGTATTCTCATGTTTTGGTTGCAAATGTCGATTTTTTTCCTAAAATATTTTTATAAAGTATAAATTCTTGTAATTTCATTTTGATTGTGGAACAACTACATATCCTTATATATAAACCAAGCCCTTTTTGATTTTTTACTTTCATTTATCCTTACCATTTTGTTTGTTTCTTGCTTTTTATTTTATTTCTTTCACGAAGTGGTGCTTAGTAATGTTTTGCATGCTATCTGAGGTCTGCTCGTATTCCTAGAATTATCTACTGGAATCCTGGATTTCTCTCCTTACTGCTTTCTCCTTTCTTCCCTGTAGATATTACTATACAAATTCTCCTTATATGTAAAAGGGAACAAAAGGTAGTGACCTTCACAGGGTTAATGACAGGATTTCATGAAATAATACGTGTAAATTGTTTAGACCAGTACCTGTTAGATAGTAAAACATCAATGAGGCATAAATGCTAATGATTATTATTTTAAATTATTATCATTATCAGGCTTTCACTCTTGGCTGTTGAAGAGGAAAATACAATAAAAGAGAATTCGAAGTGAAAATTTTTCTCTAATCTCAATGAGCTGTAGTTGTTGCCTTTTCTCCACATTTTGACTTCCAGATGCTGTGGGGCTCTAACTTGTAGCACCGTAGAGCGAGGACATGCAGTCTGGATACCCTAGTGTTAGAAGTTTTAAAAGTACTTTCATGTAGTACTAACTTATGCAGCATTCGGCTTTTATGTTATTGTGGGGATTATTTTGATGGTTTTCTTCCTTGAAACTGGTACTGAATAGGAAAAATTAAATCAGGAAAGAAACTAAATGTTAGCATATGCTTCCTTACTTTATAACATCAGGATTCTTTGAGAGTCTTGACATTGAAATCATCCACATATTTTTGTGTTCATCATCTTTTCTCTATTATAAATTAATGTTATAAATTAGAACATTTAGTCACTTAATTATGAGTTAATAATGATTATAACCATATTAGTTATTTGAAATCAGCTGGCTGTTTAGAAATACAGGGGGAAATTATGTATACCTGAACATATATATGTATATGGAAAGATGTGAAAAAGAAACAGACTTTTCCTGTCACTTTTCTTTTTACCTCAGATGATTCCTTTATGTCCAGGAGACTGTGGGGACCAATGTTACAACTGTATTGGAATGTTACCCTGTTTTTTCTTTTCTTTTTTTCTCAACATTGTGAAGCATAGAGAATATTTTATTAATACAATATTCATTTAAAAATCTCTTTGTTTATTATACAGTTCCACTTGGGAAATTTTGTCATTGCTTAGCATTCTCTCCTTTGACTCCCTTCAACTTTTGTTTATAAACACATGAAACCTCATGATAACAGGAATTTAGATATAATGTTACTGGAGATTGGCTCACATGCTTTTCAACTGCTCGCAATGCTGTTTCACTAACCTTGCGGCAATGCCACCCTGCATTTTTGGGAAATGAATTTGAGACTTCATTTAAAACATTTTAGTATGATTTTAATATTATTAGTTTAATACTTCAAAAAATACGTGTATAATGAATTTGGCTTTCTTATTTTTTTGGTTATAATATTTCTTACAAACAGTATAAACATTAAGAGTAAACTGTATTATCTTATAGTTGTTCCGAATTGTGAAAAGGAAAATGCACCAGAAGGTCCTACTCAGAAAGGTCTTCGTGAAGCCAGAGAACAAAGCAAACGTAAAACAAAGATGAAAGTTAATACAAAGGTATGATATTTTTGTTTCCATTAATTCATACTTAACTCTCAGATATTCAGATTCACGGACTCGTATCATTATTATATTGGAAAAGTAATTTAGAAGTTATGTATTCCAAACCACTTGGTCTATAGATAGAAAATGGAGGTTCTTAAATGTTACTAGTAACTAGTTAATTGAGGGACACACATTTATTAGTGGCAGAGACAGCTCAGTGAATCACTCTGCCACTTACTCAAACTTAATCATGGCCATTTCTGCTCACCTGCTCACTCTTCTGCTTAAAATTACCTTTGTCCAAAAGAAATAACTATCAGATCATCCCTTATTTATTTTCTCATACTATAACTTCAAACTTTCATTAGTCTTTTCAAAAAGAAGAATGGAAAGAATTATACCCCATTTAAGAATCTCTTTATATCTGAGCGCCTTTGCTGTGCATCAGGATGAGAGTTAAAATCTTCCGTGATTACAGAAAAAATGATATTAAAAATGTCTGGTCTGGGGCTTCCCTTGTGGCGCAGTGGTTGCGAGTCCGCCTGCCGATGCAGGGGACACGGGTTCGTGCCCTGGTCCAGGAAGATCCCACATGCCGTGGAGCGGCTGGGCCCGTGAGCCATGGCCGCTGAGCCTGCGCGTCCGGAGCCTGTGCTCCGCAACGGGAGAGGCCACAACAGTGAGAGGCCCGCGTACTGCAAAAAAAATGTCTGATCAAAGAGATAAAAAATGAAGAAAGAAAATTACACAAAACCTATGAAGGGTTTAGTTTCTTGTCATGAAAATTGCATAAAAGTTTAGCTGAGGTAATGAATGTTTTTATAAATACCTTTGAGTTCTAAAATATCTGACATTTAAAAATGAAAGCATTTACAAATATAACTTTTTTAGTGTAGTAATGCTATAAGAACAACAGATTTTTATGAATTCAAATAATCATTTACTTAGCTAATATCTATAACATTTTTCTTCAAAGGTATGCACTGGAATCTAGTATCATATATAATATTTGAATAAAATATAGACTAAATGCTTTTAGGTTATACTAAGGCTTTGATAATAACTTTCTAGTGATATTTAGACTACTATTTTACTGTTCCTCTATCATCAATACTAATTTTTTAGGTTTATGGTATTTGAGGGAAATCCCCTCTTTTAGTCAGTCTGCCTCAGGTTCCCCATGTCTCCAAGGTCCCATCAGGACAGACCCTCTTTTGTCACCATAAAGCTTTCCCACTTCTCCGCCTGCCTGTAATTTGAGTCTCTGCCTAATGCAGTCAGTGGCAGTAGATGACTCCATTGCTGTCACTAAGTAGTGCTTGTTCTTGTTTGGATAATCTTTATCTCCACAGAGGCTAGTAAGTCAGGGAGCAAATAAAAGACTCGCAATAATAAAAAAAATTCAGAGTTAAGGATTCTGAGTGTGATAGTGGTGGTTGTCATGAGAAAGATTTTCATCTTCTGACGTGGCATAGGCATTCTTTTTCAGGTAGTAAGTCATACTTAGAAATGACTGTTTCAGGTCAGTAGTTAAATATATTCAGCTCTGTGTCATAATCAAAATTCCAAACTTGCATGAGTTTCTTCTTCATTTAAGAATGTGTGAAGGGTGACTGTGGGCTGTCTGTAAGTGGGTGACAGGATCAGCTGCCAGGGACATTGGAACAGAGCAGGCAGGAAGGCTGGGCAGGCCATAGCCCCAACAGTGGCCAAATAAATAGAGAAATTTTGGAACTTTGGGATTAAAGCATAGTATATTTGACAGAGGCTGCCTTTCCTTTCCCACACCCCACCCTCACATCCTACCATTCTCTCCTATGGTATGGTGCCAGATCTCATGTGTGTCAGGGGCAGGGGTGCTCTAATGTCATTCCAAGCTTTGCTCTTGTCTTCAATCTCAACATGTAAGTGTGCATCTCTTAAGATAGTTTGCCTCCTTTCATTAGCAATCAATTCTTGGGTTTTAGTCTACATATAAAAGTTTTATCGTGTGTCCTCTGTATAAAAGTGAAGAAAAAATAGGGTAGGAGGAATGTTTTATTCACTTTTGCAATTTTAAAAGCAGTTATTTAATGAATTTTTCTGACATTTTGCCTTTTCATTCAGGCAAAGTCAGGAAATCATTTTGGGTTTAAGTCAGAAAAAACTAGTTTAGATCGTTTGAACAAAATAACCTTAATACATGGAATTGATTACATAGGTGACAGAAGAGCTAAGATGTCATCTAGGGGACAGGAAGACAACTCAGAGAGTGTCAACGGCAGGACACTTTTTTTGTGTTGGAGGCACAGTGGGAGAGCATTGTTACCAGCCTCGAGGAACTGGGTCCATCAGGTAGGAGGACTGTGAAGGAGGAGGCTGTCTTGTAGGAGCTGGAGATATGCGAGGGATGCAGGGCATGGGGGGAGGAACTTCTAACACACAATACCAGGGGAGGGATTAGAAAAAAACTCATTAATTAATATGTATGTGACAGAAATATTTATAGCTGAATAGTTTATTTCCAGCCATGACATATACTTGATATACTTCTTCCTTCTTTTAGTTCTCATTCAGGGTTTGTGTTTTGCTTAGCCAGTGCTCATTGGAGTTCTTTATGTGGTGAGTGGACCCATATCTTTAATCCTGAAAGGTCTGAGTATTTAGTGGTCCTGCTATCTTGGATTGTTATAGTTTTCCATTGATATTTACTACTTAACGTGGATGTACTAAGGGTGTCCCAGATTTTTTTCTGGGTTCCAGAAGGTCCTCTCCAAATCCATCATTTAGCAGCAACCATGTCAAAAAGTACAAAACAGTCACACAAATCTCTGAATCACTAGATGTCAGACTTAGTTTTAATCTGATGGTGCCTTCCCTCTGTGCCACAATAGATGCACCTTTCTCTTTTGAACTAAGCCATTGAATAGCAGAGCCTAAGGTTGCTGGCACAGGAGGCAAACTCTTTGCAGGTTGGTTATGAGATGTAATAATTAGAGGGGCTACATCTGTTGCTGTGAACCCTTGGTTTCTGTGACTGTGTGAGAACAACACTGGTGGCGTTTCTAAACTAACACTGCAGCTGATTTTTTAATAAGCTATTCTGCTATTCCATCAGGGCATCTGTTTCTGCGGGATGGCCTATCATTAATTCTGTGGGTGTTAGCCCATAACCATATTTCTTTTACTGTAAAATGCATACTTTGGTCATAAGCATGAATTGTATTTCATGACAATGTATAAGGGAATTTCTAAGTATTTGGATTGTGGTGCACTCAGAGCAGTGAAAGCAAATATCCCATCTGAAATAGTAGTTGCCATTGTAGACCACGCCTTACTAATTTTACAGTAATCCACAGTCATTTTGTGAGATCCATCAATTTTCTGCAAAGGCTGAACTGGTAATTAATGAGGATGCGATGGATATCTATCCTCTATATCTTTCCACTACTTTATTGTGGCACACATTTCTGTAATTCCCACAGGACTGTGATTTGCTTTTAGTTTACTCTTTTGGTAGGTTAATTTCTAGGGCTTCTGCTTGATCCTTCCTACCATAGTAGCACTTACTTCATAAAACAGTGAGCCAATGAGGAGATTTTACTAATTGACTAGTATGTCTATTCCAGGTGTACAGTCAGAAACTGAGGAAGTAACCAGGGAACAAGTCCACAAACCCACTGGGTTTACTGCGAAACAGACTGGAGCCAAAATACCATTTATCATGAGGCTATCATAACCTCCTAGTCTGACTATTGGATGGTGTTTTTATGTTTCCAGTAAAGGGAATGCACTCAAAGTTAATATCTAATTATCTCTGAAAGGTCTAAGGTAAAAGAATTGCCCTTGTAAATGGCTACTGTCCCTTCAGGGAAGACTTGGAAGGTGATTTAGAGTCATGTTTTTGTTTCCTAAGTGAACCTTGCATGATATGATGAATACATATTTGTCCAGTGAAAACAGATCAGTAACCCCTCCAAAATGAGAGGTTCAAAATAATGTCTGCCACCAGGTGGCAGGCTGGCTTTGCATGGTGAGGCGCCATAGCAAGGGTTCCACGTTGGCTTCTGCTGTTGGCAAGCTGGACATTTAAAAGCACTGAGTGGTGGCCAATAAATTTTGCTTAGGGAAAGTCCTTGTTACTGAGCCTGTGCATAGTCTTCATACTTGAAGACTTCATAGCTTATCGGGCCAGAGCAGTAGGGGGTCCTCTTTGGCAGAATTATAATCCAGTGACTGTCCATTGGTAGCAGAGATGGCATATCATGCAAGCCCATCTAGAAACTAGGCTAGATGTTTTTTCTTTCTCTGTTACCTGGTCATTGTGAACTCACAAAGCCATAGGTATAGTAGGACATATGGCATTGAAACGAGAGTGGAAATTTGGGATTTTAAGCTGCCAGCTCATGTAATTTACTTGTACCTTTCTGAAGTGCTCAAGCACAATTTCAATTATAATTATTCCTTTTTAAGATGAACTGGGATTTTTTGCATGTCCAGAATCATGGCTTTGAGGACATACAGCATTCCTAGGTCATGAAAAATAACTCAGGTCATAAGTCCTTAGACTCTACCAGAGCTCAGGAGCATACTGGGATCTGACTCCTTTTAAAGGAGAACTGATAGGAATAGTGATCAACAGAGATGAGCATGCCTTTTCTCTAGAAGTCTAGAGGTCAGTACTGCAGTTCTGCTGGAGCTGTTTATAGTCTTTCTTACAGCATCCTTATTTTCCACAGATAATTTGAGCACCATTGGATCTGCTGGGCTATAAGACCGAAGGGGCAGGTAGGATGTCTTGTATCATACCCTGGACCTGTTGCAAAAGTTTTCTTGGTCCAGACATCATTTAAACTATGTTCTTTGTTCAAGATAGAGGATACAATAAGCAGCAGCTTGCCTTTTGTTTAGAAGCATTATCTCAACATGCTCTAGTGAGAATTTTCTTGGTGTTTATTTCTTCTCTGGCACACATGTGTCTTATAAAGACATCTAGGGTACTTGCCACTTCTTGCTCACCAGACCCATTTAGG